TCAGCCATCCTACCCAGAATTTTTGAGCAGCACATCGAAGCAGGCTATACATTACTTTTTTTCGAGCAGCGGGTACTGTAAGGCAATCTACTTTGGGGAAGTAGATGCACCAATGGAAGCGGTAGTCAGGCTGCATTGGCGGTTGCATTGGAGGCGTGGCGGTTTCACGACGAAAGGTTCTCTAGTTGTAAAACAATTGGGCACCGAATCTAAAACACCGCCGCACCCAACCACGGTTGTTGAAGTTTGTGACAACGTTATGGTTTAACTTTCAGTTTAGAATAAAAGTGCAATCCGCTTCAAACTGCTGTATCACGTAACATTGCCTTCTCTAGCGGGGCACCCTCCCCAAAAAGGGCAAGTACCTGCCTTAAACTTGTTCAAAGTTACAGACGGAATCAAATTTTCACTCTTTGACGGTTTCTTGCAGTCGTCTTGACTGCTACTGTAGTATCAAGCATCAACAGAGTGACGAAAATTCACAGTAGGGAATAGCCATCATCATCAAGCAAATTTGGGCATTAGGAGGCAGCAATAGCAAAACTGACACCATCCTTGAAGTAAAGCGATTCCGAAGGGCAAAGGTAATGGTGAGCAGAGCCCGCCTCTATTGGAATTTCTTGAAAAAGCGGGTCGTGTTTTAGGGACACAGAGTGGTTGAAGTAAAAGCTGGAATGGAGGGAGGTAGATATTTAGAATTGCCATTTGCCATTTCAACAGTTTCCTCCACCACTCACAATCTTTGTGAAATTTATGCGACCATGTTGGGACCTCTTCAGCGATGGCAGGTTCAACGAAATCACGGTGGGGATCGTATGGAGGGCCTCTACAGGAAAGGGCGTAGAATTTTTGAAGTCGATACAACGTAAGGTTAAATCTAGCGATGAGTGGAGGCGAGCGAGTCAAGCTGCTTCCCGGACCGTCTACGAAGAACTCATAGAGTAACAAAGAGATCGAAGCTTCGAATAGCACCGGAATTGTGAGCAGAGGAAATGCTGGTTGCTGTCACGGTGCCCCCCCCCCTGGTGAGCTCCCTGAGGTCTCCTGCTTTCAAATCGGTTCAAAAGCATAAGCGATCAAGACAAGATTGCAGAGCTCGTGATTCATAGCAATATCAACATTCTGAAATAAGACTAACTAGGGGAACTGGCCTCCAAGACCGAATAGACGCCTTTATACAACAAAAATGCCTACATCGACCAGATTGGACCAGGTATCGAAAAGGCCTAGTAAAGCAGTACACAGAACATTACGAGAAATCCTACCTGGAGGAGGGGTAGAGTAGCTGATAGATGAACACCAGCGCTGACGGCCCTTGAGTCAACGAGAAGCATGTGACTATTGCGAGTACGGTATGCGTCATTTTCCTCTCCTGCTCGTGCCTTGTCGACGGATTCGTGTTCACAGTGTGCACCAACAGCTCCTGAAAGGCAAAATCCATGCTTATGAGTGATCGAAAAACTTTTAATAGATGTAACCTGGATCTTTCCCAGCATAATACTTATAATAAATCGGAAGCGGTTTTTAGAAAAAGCAGCAAAGCAGGTAATAGGGCTAACTCATGAACATACCTGAGTATTTCCGCTTTTTCAACAAGTCGAAACAAGCGAAATGTTGAGCACCGCGACGGCAAATACTGGTAGTAGCACTGCGAACACAGCGTTCAAGAATACGGACATCTCGATCCATTGCCTTGTGAGCTCCGATGTGGGATTCGGCCGTGATCCCCAATTTGGTAACGCATTCGAGTAGCAGCCACCTATCAGCTGAGTGCCTGAGCACACAGCAAAAGTCTTGCAGGTGTGCGATACATGATGATAGCTGAAATCAATTTATCTAATGTATGAATGAAGAAAGTGAAGATTGGCGCTAGTCTATGGTACAAAGGTAGATTCCTCTGCTGCGGTTCTCTGTTTCTAGTTTCATCAGCTCTGAAATAGTGCGGTAGAAGAGACTCCCCTTTCACTGTACTGTCCAAAGCGGACACCGAGTTCCCAGTTGTGGGCGTAGAGGCATCGCGCGCGGCTTCTGCATCTGGGATCGGATAGAATTGAGGCGGCAATTGCCCATACCCTTTCCGCTTTTACTAGCGTCAGTCAGAAAATACGGTGAGCACCAACCGCGTAATGTTTTCATTGCAGCTAGTGATTTCTGACTGACGCCCCTCCAAAACACTGCCCGGATAGGCCACCGCAGTGCGTCGAAGAGCAGAGAGATCTACAGCCTTTTAGTTATTGCATGTATAATAATTAACAGGTCTGGAAAGCAACGACGATGGTAAGACCTTAGGTTAGGACAGCAAAGAATATCCTGCAGATACACCAAGGAGACCTATGCTATGACAAGGCATTAAACGCGATGTAGACCTTTTGCCTAACGACAAAAATCCCACAGCTTGCTGCGAATTTCGTCGCATGACGGGCAGCCTTTTCGTTTAAAACGGCTGTTACTGCAGCTTGAAAAAAAAAAACAATTTCGTCCTCCGAATTAGTTAGTTAGTCAAAACCAATTCCTGGAGCGGTGCAAGCCAACAAGGAGAATCTGCACTAATGCCAAGCGTATGACCCGTACGAGCGTACAGGTCAGGTATTCAATTGTCCACTAAATTACTGGGCACACTATTCTCTCCAAGTGAAGCACCGAACGACCTTCTTTGGTATCCGATGCATTCGTTTTACACTGCAGTCGTCATCTCCTACTTCATTCTCTAACGCTGTGAAAGCCACGGGTCGGAAGGAAATAGGTGGTAATAGGTAGTGCCTCATGAGTGAGCAAGGAGCACGTTCCCTCAGCCGGCTGAAGCCCGCGATAGTGTTGCGAGGCGCGAGAAGTGCGCACAGGCGCCAACGCCTTACGATTGGGCGACTGCCAGTGGCTGGAAGTTTTATTAGTCACGGCATACGTGTTGTATACGTCTCTCGCGTACGACGTACTCTCTCACCTTTTCCCTATACTCGCGTATATCTTCCGTAACACCACAGTAAGGGAATTGCCCAGTGTTTTCTTAGGCAGCTTTTTGCGGTTTTCCCCACCAACGCTTCTCGTCACACTTCCTTTCTAACTTTCAAACAAAAAACATCAATTGGGTTCCGACTAATACCTTTGAGTAATTTGGTTGAAATCAATACCTACCCCTCTAATTCAAGACACTAATCGATCGTTTTGTCAGGTAGTTGTAGTAGAAACAGTATTATGTCAAAGCAAATATCTTACCTTGTAAGCAGAAACGTCCCAACGAGAATGCACATCGATATGAAAACGATTTGCCGAGACTGAAATAAGCGCATTATACATCTGTGTAATGAGTACCGCTTCAATGTCAGCGGGACTGTAGATTTAAGATCTTCTAACATCTGCCAATGTTTTTTTTCAAATTACTCAGATTTCTCAACAAAATATGCGTGCGCGTTGTACAGGTCAGCAAAGCATTAGCGATGCACTGTGAAGTTCCTCAATAAAATATGCCTGCGCGTTGTACAACTCAGCAAAGCATAGCGATGCACTGTGAAGTTCAAAGCTCCTGAATGATCAGACAATTTCAACATACTTTCAAATTACTCTTAATGCGTTCCACACTTGCCAAAATTGAAAAAATTCTTTAATTATTCAATTAGGTCGAGATTCCGTCTTCGCCTTCACGATCAAAATTCGTGGACGTTGCTTTTGTCTAGGAATCGATGATCAACTGTTGGGCACAACTTGAACACGATTGTGAACTCACGAAACTTGTAATGACTGTTGGACCCTAGCGATGCCTGTGGCCGATGATTTTATAAAGAACAAGCGAACCAAACCGGCATTTTGAGAAAACTTGGGACCTTGCGGCCTTATAAAATTTCAAAATTTCAAAAAGTTGCAATGTCACTCCGTTAAAGCTAGGAGATTCCCTTGGTAATTCCCGGCTCGTGTCATTAAATAGTCGCTTTTCTCACCCAACAATCCACACCCAGGTCCACAGTGATGGACTTTTACTCAGCACAGCCTTCTAGAGGCGCTCTGGTTCCGATTGCGCCTTCGTTCCGTCTATCATTGCTTTAGTGAGCAACTTCGGCAGCATACGGTATTCTTTTCTCCCTTGCGTTAGTCCCGCGCAGTCGCAGGGTCCGCTGTTCAGCAGCGTACGGTATTGAACTGAACCATCGCTCATGTTCACAAAGTCTGTGCTTGTTCATAGGCTCTACACTCAAACAGGTGTACAAGTGTGAAATACCAGGATAAGTGGAAGATTGCGAGCTCTCGCTTTACATTAAAACTATCAAGACAAAATTAAAAATCAGACAAAATGAACGAAGGACATCGCCTCTCAGCCTATATAGCGCTACCAGACTTATGGAGGGAAACGTTCTGCCAGGTTTCTACTGGTCAGCCGTTTATGGCATGAAATCATGAGACAGCTACAATTATAGTCATGACAGGAAACCAAAAAATGCTGGTGACGAGATTTTCCTCAGCAAAAAAAACTGTTGTTGAAATTTCATTAACGGCTAACAATAGTCTCTACGTATGAGGTAAGAGATATAAAATACTCACATTGTAAGTGTCGAGTGATCGAAATGGGAACTTCACAATGAGAAGTCGTTCCACGGAGACAGCGAGCAC